AGTGATCTAATAATTTATAGGAATTTATCATGTATATTTGGCGGCGGAATGCAAGCAAACGTTGTGGTGTGGGTAATCGGATGAAGATATCAAAAGGGGAGGGGGAAGAGATGTCATAGATGGATGGCACTGAGGCTTTTAGATGCACAGAGGCGGGTACCGTAATGTGGAGTAAACAGGGGCACAAATTGGAAAAGCGTTTTTGACACAATTTTGTTCCGAAAGGTGATTCAGACCATTTGTATTTATTTTATTTAAAATAAGGGGTGGAAAATGAATATCGTCTGTGTCGTACTTTGGGGAAATTTATGTCGACGCTTATCCAGTTGGTGTGCCTCTTGACTCCATTTGGACCTATCCATCATGTTTTACGGTAATGGCACAACGGTATTGTAAAAGTTGCGTCACTAATGCAACAAGGCATTTGTATGGATTGGCAAAGAAAGGGAGTGAGACGTTGAGAGGAAAGATGGATGGTATGACTCGGAGAATGTTGTTATGACAAGACTGCAATGTAAAAGTCGAAGATAGAGCGAGAGAAAGAGAGAGAGAGAGGGTGAGAGGGGAAGAGAGAGAGAGAGAGATGAAGAGATAAATAAATAGAGAGAGAGAGAGAGGAGGAGGGGAGGGAGGACAAATAGACTCCGAGGAGAGGGAGAGGGAGGCAGAGCGAGATAGATGGATGCATTGCACATGGAGCCGTTTGATGCAATTCAGAGTAATAATGGAAAAATAGAAATGCTGAGCTGAGGTACCCTATATCACATTTCAGCCCGCGGCGAAATATTTCAGAAATTCATACGAGCCTAATTGGCTGCGATGTTTTCCAAAATTGGAAGCTATATGTGAAGATGGATAGATTTCAAACCCTGTTAATCCCACCAACTCTCCAAACATGTACACGAGGCGCTAAAGGAAAATTTGCCTTTTGCCCGCCATGTGAATGATGGAATAAATACAATTGCGTTTCGCAATAAACATAATTTAACACTGATTTCATTGGAGAACGCTGGGATACCGCACGCGCCCTCAATGTTGAAGAAATCAATATTGGATATGTTGGACATTTTGTATTTTTTTCATTACAATTTTGTTTTGCCCAACTAAGAAATGTATCATAATATTCCCCCTATTTATATCGATATTATTCTCGGGGGGGGGGGGGGGGGGGGGGGGGGAGATGATCATGAATTATGGTATGGACAAACTATTAGCCAGATGAACATGACATTTTACATTTTACATGTTTTACCCCTTAGATCTTGATTGACGTCGTGTATACTCCTCCTCCTCTTCCTCCTCCTAGCTACTGGTACCGCTGCTATAGTTTTTCTTCTGCCATGACGTATCGTTTAGGAATTCGATTTGACAATCTTGTTTGTTTCCATAAGTCAGTATCAAAACTCAAAGCCGAAATGTTCAAACGCAAAAGAATGATCGATTAATTACACAATATTACATTATTTAGCGGTTAGTACAGAAGTAATAATTTGTTTTATTTTTTAAAATAAATTTAATAAAAATATTTAAAAATCAATCAGGGGCATCATTTTGGCGTATCGACTCAATTGGACTGGATGAAAAATCTTAATCTGTCATTTTTCATCAACAAGAAACATTTCAGAAATTCATAATTCCCAAATTGGCTAGTAATTTACATTTACAAAGTTGGTCATTATGGGAAATTCCTTATGTATATGTTAGGCTGTTTTCACTAACATAAGCCCGGGATTGTTGATTAGAATATTAGAAAACATAATTATCTTGCGGTTAAAGTAACTGTATTCCGAAAATCGATAATTTTGCAGAAATTCTCCTATGTATAATAAATAAAGAATACAAATTGAGAATGTTAATTAAACTATAAAAGAATTCTACAGTTGAGCTGAAAGGACTATTCAATACGCATATCTACATAATTATGACCCACCAAAATCAACGAAGGCTTACAAATCATTTATTGATCCTGCCAAAACCAATAAATCATCATTCTTACCGTCAAAATTCATCCACATAACTGAATCCCTAATATCAAACCACTTCGCATAACATTAACCTATATAAATAAAAGGCTTCGTAATTATAATATATACGCTCGTCATCTGGTCAGAAATTGGTTCAATAAATCTCATGCAGTCTCTTTTTGATATGATGCCTGCTATTCAGCTCACGTCTCGTAGTATGGGCTTAATGATTGATGAGTAATACGTGTATGATGAAAGCGGGATCAACATAGAAATCAAACTCCTCTCAGCTCACAGTGTACTAGGATCCCTTTCATTTTGTGATTCTTGGCTTTTTGATGAATATCCTCTTCACTTTCATGATGTTTTTTTTTTTTTTTATAAGATGTTCTTTTCACTATTGAGTAGGGCTTCTACATGAATATGAACGTTTAAAAACAATAATTTATTCCAATCTGGACAAAAAAAGCATATTATGGACTGCCAATTTCACATATTTTCTTTATTTTTCCAATATAATTGATGCCTTATGTTTATCAAAAAGCTAAAGATAACTTGCAAAAAATGTGTAATTGTTAATATCAGGTGGAAAGAAAGGTTTACAAAAATAATGAATCAAGCTTCTTTTCATTAACACATGTCAACACTCTCTGCAAACTCTAACTTAGTCACTGTTTTCAGAGCATTAAATTGAACTGCATTACACAACTGATTCCAATTAAATAAAACCAATGAATATTCATTGGTATCCTTTATTTGTCCATCAATATATGTTACATGTACATGTATACTGTATCAAAATTCAAATACATATATATTGATTAATTCAATGAATTAATCAACTAAATACATATCAATGAGATTTTAAAAACGTGTAAGTTTATACATGACACTTGTTATCTGAATCGTATAAGTTTATACATGACACTTGTTCTCTAAAGCGTATAAGTTTATACATGACACTTGTTCTCTGAATCGTATAAATTTATACATGACACTTGTTCTCTAAAGCGTATAAGTTTATACATGACACTTGTTCTCTAAAGCGTATAAATTTATACATGACACTTGTTCTCTAAAGCGTATAAATTTATACATGACACTTGTTCTCTGAATCGTATAAATTTATACATGACACTTGTTCTCTAAAGCGTATAAATTTATTCATGACACTTGTTCTCTGAATCGTATAAATTTATACTTGACACTTGTTCTCTAAAGCGTATAAGTTTATACATGGCACTTCTTCTCGAAAGTGTATAAGTTTATACCAGACACTTGTTCTCTGAATCGTATAAGTTTATACATGACACTTGTTCTCTGAATCGTATAAGTTTATACATGACACTTGTTCTCTGAATCGTATAAATTTATACATGACACTTGTTCTCTAAAGCGTATAAATTTATACATGACACTTGTTCTCTGAATCGTATAAGTTTATACATGACACTTGTTCTCTAAAGCGTATAAGTTTATACATAACACTTGTTCTCTGAATCGTATAAATTTATACATGACACTTGTTCTCTGAATCGTATAAATTTATACATGACACTTGTTCTCTAAAGCGTATAAGTCTATACATAACACTTGTTCTCTGAATCGTATAAATTTATACATGTCACTTGTTCTCTAAAGCGTATAAATTTATACATGACACTTGTTCTCTGAATCGTATAGATTTATACGAGACACTTGTTCTCTAAAGCGTATAAGTTTATTCATGACACTTATTCTCTGAATCGTATAAATTTATACATGACACTTGTTATCTGAATCGTATAAGTTTATACATGACACTTGTTCTCTAAAGCGTATAAGTTTATACAAGGCACTTCTTCTCTAAAGCGTATAAGTTTATACATGACACTTGTTCTCTAAAGCGTATAAGTTTATACATGGCACTTCTTCTCTAAATTGTATAAGTTTATACATGACACTTGTTCTCTGAATCGTATAAGTTTTTACCAGACAGGAGATGTACCACTGGTATGAATTTGGCGATCCTACTTCAAAGCTGTGGAAAGTTATTGTGTGTATACAGCTTTGTATGTTAAGTTCAATGACCTTTTAACCTTTGAACTTTGTTGAACACGAGTGACCCATATTCGAACTTGACCCGAGTCTACAAGAGATGTACCACTGGTGTGAATTTGGCAATCCTTGATCAAAACTATGGAAAGTTATTGTGTGTACTATGCTTTTAATAAAAAGTTCATAGACTTTTTGACAGTGCCGTAAAAACTGGAAAACAACAACAACAACTTTTGACCTTTCACCTTTGTCGGATATCGCCCATATTCAAACTTGATCTGAGTCTTCAAGAGATGTACCACTGGTATGAATTTCACAATTCTACTTCAAAGCTGTGGAGAGTTATTGTGTGTACAGCATAAGTACAGCTTTGTATATTAAGTTCATTGACCTTTTGACCTTTGAACTTTGTCGACCATGACCCATATTCGAACTTGACCTGAGTCTTCAAGAAATGTACCACTGGTAAGAATTTGGTGATCCTAGCTCGAAGATATAGAAAGTTATTGGGTGTACAACATAATTGTTGACGCCGACACCGCCGGTGTAAAAAGTGACGCCTATGCCTGGCTCCTGCTACGCAGGCGAGACAAAAAGGACATGAAACCATTTTAACGGATATCAACCGATGCCAAAAAACGACATCCGTTCCTCAAGTGTGACAGCCGCATGACGGATTAAACAAAAGTACCATCCGTTACTTGTACATTTTCTGATCCGGCCATGTCTGGCAGCGGAATAAGCTTGTAAGTTTTCAATTCAAAATATTACAGTAATATTAAAAAAGATAAAATTACATCTGTTTAAATCATATAGATTGTAAATCTCATGCAACTAAGATTTGTACTAAGGACCCTCTGGTGAAATTAAAAAGCTCCTCCACTTGTGCTTCACAGCCCCCACCCCCAAAAAATATTACTCCAATTTTATTGAAACCAATAGGCCTACTATTTTGCTCAATTATTTGATAGCTAAGGCAATACAATGGCCCAATTAAGCTAGGATCTACAAAGCTACTGAAAATAGCTACTGTGCTTCTCTCTCAAACCATTCACTGTTTGAAGAGGAAGTTTTTCTCCAGCAGTCAGTGAGAAAGGAGGGAGAATCACAGAACTAGAATCAATAGTCTCAACCCAAAGCTGTTTCCTGCCCTTTTGTCCTTTGACTGGTACCTTTACCTCCTTCCACTTAGAAGTCAAGGTTCCTGTGTACCACTCGATCTGTAGGGACTTGTCTTCATGTACACTGCGAATGCAGCCAACTTGAGGCCAGTGTGTCGAGTACTCTGGGAGATATGTTGCCACCATGTCTCTCTCCCTAACTTCTGTCCTCTGTTCCTTTACTTTGGGTCCTATGTGAACCTAACAAAAAGAAAAAGAAAGTAAAATAAATAAAATAAGAAAGTGAATTGAAAACGAATAGTGTAGTGCCACTACATACATTATCAGTGATTCAAGACAATTCCTTATGTACACTTTATTTACAACATATAAACATATTATTATAGTAATTCTTTCTGAAACCTAATAAATAATTTTCTTTTATAAAATCAGAAAATATTGTTGAAACTTCTACTATTTTTGTATTTTTTGATTTTCAATTAACCCTAAAAGGGCTGTACGTTCACCGGGATATGTTTAAGGATATTTTTTTTTTGTGCCGGGAGCTTTCATGACTTTATAGCATAGAGTCTTGCGCATCTTTTGATGCCAAATATAAAAAGTTTTGACCATCGGGTAACGTGCAAATTGACGATTTTCCCATTGTCTGTGTATTGTAGCAATTCAATGCAGAAATGCAGATGTGCGATACCTACGATTACGTAAATGCAGATAACTACAATTTTTTGAGGTGCTCACATTGATGTTTAAGAAAAAAAAAAAAACAAGAAACAACAAAAACAACAAAAATTTGGGAAGACTTTTGCAACTAATGCACAAGCGTATAGCAATCACTAGTACCCAAAGCTAATCTTTACCTGACATGACCTGACCCCAAAATACTCGGCATGACTTGTAATTACTGTAATGACTGGAATTATGCAAGGGCTTACATGTATATATATTAGGGGCTAGATCTTGTGTGAAGACTATACAGAGTGTAAATTCTGTTAGGGAATAATGTTGCACTCAAGATGCAATTAAGCTGAGTGTGTTAGTCATGCAGCATTGTAGATGATTTACATTTTTTTTTTAGAAAGCAACTCAAGTTGTAAATAACGATTAAAATACATTTAATACTAAATATGGTTCACAATATCTTTGTCTTAATTAAGGGACATATTAATGAAACATGTACCTGTCTGAATGTTTCATCCTCTGTGTTGCAAGCATGCTCCTCAAGCTGTGGTCTGTCAGTTGGTTGTTTGGCCATTATCAGTAGATCGCATATAGGCCATCTCACTGTTGAATCTTCTGTTAAAACACACAAAGGAAATGTATTATAGCCCTGATGTAAGAAACAGTGTGCTAAAATATCAAAGTTTATGATCAGCCAGCTAGATAGGTTGTTATTACCTTCATCCAGTTATATAAACATATAGTGGCAAATTCTTGGAATAATAATCGTTTTATCTAATGATACTATGACCTAATCTCTTGAAAGGTCATATATATTTTTTTTAAAACCCTATATAGCCGGGCTATGCAGTGTCAAAGGGGGGGGGGGGGGGGGGGGGGTGCTTGCTAATTTAGCCCCCCCCCCCCCCCCCCCCCCCCCCCCCCCCCGAGATCTCGCCCCTCAACTGCCTGATCGTGATGAAATCGTCACCTGCAACATAATCTCCAAAATCGTATATTATCTCTCTGAAAAATATTTTGTTTAATCGATTATGCTAATTATGCTAATTTAAGCATGAAATTAGACCTTTTTTGCTCTAAATCACTCAAAACAGCTCGAAATGTGCTGTTCTTTTGATCTAGACACTCTATGTATTATTCTTAACAAGCGTACTTTAAAAAAAATCCAGTATCAAAATTAAGTTATGTATTTCATTGTTTTTTAATTTCTCTGTTTCGACCTTTTCATTTTTATTGTTTTTTCAATGAAATTTGTTGGCAACACTTATGCGATCATAACTAGCATAAACGAAATAGATTTCAATCTGTGAAAGCAGATATAATAATACATTTAAAAATATTAGCTAATACACAATTTGTATTGAAATTCTACAAGAAACCACGTTTTTGAGCTATTTTGGGTCCGATGTGCAAGTACATGTACAAAATTATGTGTAGCATAGGAACTGCATGCCCGGGCGTTGTTGCGCGAGATGTGAAGGAAAAAAGTCATGAAATTTCAGCGCAGAATGTCTTCGCTTTAAATAGTTATTGTGAAAAATGTTTTAAGGGGGGGCAAATTAGTCCCCTTCACCCCCCCCCCCCCCAACCCCCCCCCCCCCCCCCCCCCTCATCCAGGCTATAGGGTTAAATCTCGAAAAATAGCAATACATAATATCTATCTCTAAAAAAAAAAAATTTTAAAGAATGAGTGGAGAAAAACTCAAAAATATCCTCTCAGGTTTATCTATGCTGCTGACTCAGCTGCTCCCTTGTGAGAGGCAATCAAATATCATAAATTGGCGCGTAATTTGCTGGCTCTCTGTAAAACAGCCATTCCTCTTTTTCTATAGACCACCATCCATTTGATTTGTAGTCAATGGTTATATGCATTAGATAAACCAATATTTTTGTGTCCCACTAGCCTAGTTCGCTATTAAGATTTTTTTGTGAATTGTGCCATGAAGGGGTGTAACAGTCAAGACTTCAATACAAATTGTCAAAGTTTTGGGCCATAAAGCTTGAAGATGCTACATTGTATTTTTCAATGTTTCATAGGTGATGGAAAAAAATACCATAACACCATCAATTTTGGAAGTTTAAAAAATGACAGAAATGATACCTTCATTCTCCTCCTCTTCCAAGGTGAGTAGCTCATAGAGGGACCTCCATGCCTCAATGTCTACTTCTTCCAAGTATGGCTGGAGCTTGTCTGGTAGATGTATGATATTGATGTCCGCAAATGACTTCTCTACCAATGTTGGTTGTCCGTCTGGATGTGATGACAGGATGTGGTGATGCCAGTGGTGTCTCTCCAATGTGGTGTAGTTGACCAGTCTTTTGTTTGTAGGGTGGCTTTTCCTTGGTGCAGTGCGAATTTGAATATGTGTGGTTTACTGTGATAGCACATGCTGTGTTGATGGGGAAGAAGCCATTTGCGAACATCAAAGAGGTGTAAGATGCGCTCCGCTGTTGTAGGGCAGTGAGCTTTGTGGAAAGCGGCGGGAATAGCTTGCAGAAGTTTTGGAAAAGATGGGGTGCTCCTTTTCTTCAAGTGAGTTGCAATCCTTGAAAAGAAATGGTCGATGTCCTCATGTGTGTGACCGACCATCAAGAAGCCAACTTTGATCTAAATGCAAACAATAAACGTTATAAGGTGAACAACAGTATGGAATAAATTGAATTTTAGGGACATTCCTCAATGATACAACCCAATAAGCATGAGGGATAATTTATTCAATTGAAATTTTTCTTCATTTATCAGAACATTTATCTAACAAAAAACATATTATCAAAGCTTGTTTTGTTTACGCTTTACAAATCATATGTACACTGATGACAAAGATGACAACTTTATATTGCCCATGGTTTCTAATGTGCACTACCTCTTTCCCGTTCATAGGGTTCAATCTTTCCGAGAATAATAGGCTACGACCAACAACAAAAAACCCAAAACACTATTTACCATTGGTATACATGTATCTGTGTAAAGTAAATAATTCTAAGTCACAATATCTTTTTTTAACCCTATGATGCCTACACATATCAGACATTTTGGGCAGTAAATGTATTTGATAGATTAAAACAGAGGATCAACTGAAGATATGCAACAATACAATAGCGCAAAATCCCCCATCATAAAAAGTGAGTCAGAAATAATGATTCACCTTGGAAATTTGCCATGGTGAAAATAATTTGTAATCATGAATATTTTCTCTTTTTTTCACACTCTTTCTGCATCGTTGTTCTCTCCTGCTCACACTACAACTTCGAGAGAGTGGGTTTGACCCACTTTCAAACACTGTTTCATGAATAGATGCCCAACAGCAATGGTACTGCATGCAGCGGGAAAGTGTACTCTACCAGTACATGTCAAACATTTTTATATTTACATATCCCTTCACAAAATATCATGTACTTTTAAACCCAAGGTTTTGGTGCAATTGGGTTTTTACCAAGTTACTTTAATTTACTGTCAACTGTGAATAGTTTTCTGACAAAAGTGAATATTTATAATGTTTATTCTCAAACAATGGGCAATTTCCGAGGTATATCATTATTTCTGACTCGTCCTTTACATGATTCTGAAAAGAACCTCCAAGACAAAGGCATTCTCTTATCCATCCAATACAAGTTCAAATAAACAAAATTTCCTTTTCATTTTGCGATTAAATAAAGCATCATTACAGACTGAATACTTATATTGACAATTAATTACTAAAAAGAACATGTATTAAACATTACCTTCTTGAAGATATTGAGTTCAAGGAGCAGGGACAGAAAAGAAAAGAGATGTCGATTCTTATTCTCCCTAGAAGTGTTGTCCAGCTGTAGGTAGAGGACTGGTGGAAGAGAGTCGGCATAACGGACCAGGATGTTGAGCAGGATATTAATGGTTAGGTTGCTGTCATGTGGGTACTCGTTAAAATCGATGTAGGCGTGTTGACCTCTTCCATGAACAAGTGCACCGGTGATGTGAGTGTGCAGTTGATCATTGTAGCTCAGAGCTTTAGGTGTTGGATGGAGTTGCGGTATTGATGTGCAGTGCTGATCCATCCCATCGATGATTACACTCATGTATTTCTCTGGCTGTGACTTCGCTTTGCGGATGTGTTTGTAATATTTTGTCTCTCACTGCTGCTGAAAAGAAGGTAAAGAGCAATGAGGAGTCATGCTATGCTTAGAAGTTTGATCACAAAACCAATACTAATGCCTTAAATACACGAGTAAATTGTAATTTGAATGTGTTATCTGAGACTTGGCTAGGTTTACGTCTATATCAATGATACTTAATTGTGACCAATATACTTTTTAAAGTAATGAACTTGTGCCTACATTTCTTCTCCTGTTTTCCTACTATTGTATTTTTCTTCTACTATAGGCTTTTCACGTCAAATATCCACTGATTAGAACCAAACATCCGTATAGGCAGTTCAAATGCCCATATTTATTGTGGTCACCTATTCAAATATATTAACATTGTGTTGTTTTTTCCATTAGAATTCATTACTCTCTTATGCTAATATTTGTTGTCCAATTTTTTAATTTGTTCTGTTATTTTCTCCAATTTGCCGCTTCTATTTAAAGCAACTTATCTTGGAGCCTGAGTATTCCTCTAAGCTTTCTCGGTTTTTGTCTCCTTCAAATCTTGTTGAAATATTCACTTCTATGAGGAAAGCATATAATGACATAGCTCTAGTTGTATATTGTAGCTACAGTAAAATACATCCATGGTTGTCATTTGTTGCACTTAAAATACTGGATCACAGATCACCTCATTCTAAATGCTTAAAAGAAAAAAAAGTACATCAAAATCAATTACAACATTAACTTCAAGCTTTAATCAAAGTTTGCTGTACCTTTGTTTCTCTACATGTTTTTGATGTTGTGCAATCAATTGTCTTCGAACATCTTTTCGTTTGTCTTGCCAAGCTTCATTTTCAGCTCTGTGCACACATCGCACTTAGAGAAGCGGTTCACCTATAAAGAAAAAAAAAGAAAAATATCAAAGAGAAGGATTGTTAATTACAAAATTATGTTATGGATGTGTTTTCTTGATGCATATAAATGTAGATGTTATAAGACTAATATAATAATATATTGACACAAAGATACAAGAGGCCTCAGGAATTTACAGATTCGTCTGGCTAAGAATCATAAATTCATCTATGTCTAACCCTAACTGTACCGGGGTATAATTTGCATAAATTAGCATTATTGATAAATAAGCAATTTCCGCGAAACTAATGGCAAAATCTCTGCATAATTTGTGGCGATTGGCCCATTTGGAGTGCATTAAAACTGCAATATGTTTTGTACACAAACTGACCTGAAATCATGATGGGTCATATGACACTATAAAAGAATTGTCTGTTTTTGAAAACTTACGGTAGTGTAGTGTCAAAATAAAAAGTAATGAAGTGGCATTGCTGAAAACATGGCGGTTTTGATTATGGTATGCAACAACCTATGTTTAGAGCTTTTGAGCGTCCTCCCCACTCACTCCCATCCAGTACAGTTTAGGGTCATGGAATTTACAATACCTTGGGATTGTGATGTGCTGCTCTTCCTTTCTCCAAATCCTTTTGAAGTGAGTCTCAGAACAAACCTCAGCATTATCTTGTTGTATTCTTCTATACACCTCTCGCTTTGTGAACCCATGTGGAAGGTTTACAGACTCTCTGTCAGGCATTCGGTCTCCATAGGAACGAGCAAATGCATTAAGTTCGGTCTTCGCGTTTAGGGTTTGGTAATCTTGTGTCCTTTCCTCAAGCAGTTAGCAGGCAATGGTATAGCAGTCCATCTATTCACAACAATTAAATGCATGCATGGAAATAACTAGAAATACGAAAATGGCTGATCACCACAACTCGGCATGCGCCTCAGATATTGCGCAAAGGAAGAGACCTACCTATATTTTTGGCTGAAAATTGCTTATTTTGTCATTATGCAAATTTCTATTCATGAATATGTTTTTTATTAATGATTACATAAAAAATAATAATAATACCAGTCTCTATAAAGCGCTTTACGAGTTAAGACCAAAGCGCTCACAGCATATTATTGCCCCAGTCATTGGATTCAATTACAAAAAAAAAAACAGCATTTACAGTGCACAATCTCCTCTCCCTGGGGAGCATTCCAGCTGGTCACCTATTAGGCGCACACAATGCCAATTCAACTGCATTGCGTTCGCATCCTACAGGGTACCTTTTAACACCTGGGTAAAGGTAAGCAATGTAGACAAAGTGCCTTGCTCAAGGAACATAAATGCTGTGCTGCTTTTACAGAGTTTTATTTTTTGGCAAAAAGTTTCTTAAAAGCCTATTTGACATTATCATATAATTGAATTGTCCATATACTTGTTTTATAATAATAATAATATAATAACGCCCATTTGTACTGCGCCATGTCTGTCAGATTGACACTGGGCGCCCATTATGAATTTCTAATGTATTTTACTGTTTTTCAATTCTATGTA